AGCTAGTACCAGTTTGCTGTAATATTTGCTAAGCGTCAGTGTCGAACAGGAGACCTCTTTCTTCTAACGCACTTCAAGTGCGGCTGTGATGATTCCCACTCCTAACCACATCTCACACTGTCTGTGTTTACAGCTTAGCGATGAAACACAAACATACTACCCCACATAATCCAAATATATGACCACTTCACATGTCAGAATGTTTTTACCATATTATCCCCACATCTATCTTCCCCACTACCATGCACTAAATTCCATCCTTTTCGCCTTAAATCACAAGATATTCAGCCATGCTGGATTTCCTTTGACTGGCATGTTCCACTACTTCACAAGGTAAGCTTCAGCCTACTTACGGCCGCAGAACGTCACTTCAGAGCTTCAACCTTCTTGTCAACCCTTCTCGGCATGACCAATTTTGGGTGGGCTTCCATCGCCCTTCCTTTACATTCTACTACTCTAAGTGATGACTTCATTCATAGCGTTTTGGTAATAGCAGCAATCCTTAACCAGTGCGTGTTCTCTTCAGTGATACACCAAGAATACCAAGACCGCCATGTCTGTCAGTATGGGGATCCCTTCTTAGTGATGTAACTGAAGCAGGATAACACGCCGAGCGCAATTTTGCCAGGTCCTCCGATCTTAAGCCTGAGTTGCATGCCTCCAATTAGGACCTATCCTTGTTCAGTGTATGTGCACCAGTTGTATATAATCCAAAGAAAAAAAAAGGTGGCGCAGCTCTGTCAAGAAAAGTAAATGCATGTGATGATCATGTTTTAAGCTGTGGGATACACGAACAAAGAAGTCTGCTGGTTTTGCAAACAATGGTGACAAAGTGTATGCAATGGATACCTACAAGGAACGTGTTCTGGTCGGTACAAAAGATCGAAAAATCATTATGTGGGATGTGCGTAATCTTGGCCAGCCTGAACAGATACGAGAAAGTCCACTGAAAGTAATTTTTCATACAAAAGATTTGATATTTTCAACTGTTAGCAAGCATAACTTAATTAGTGCTGCTTTCATGCTGAAAATGGAACGTTTGGCCCAACTAGTGGAACAGCTAATCCCTCTACGATTCGTTCATTCGTTTCGATAGTAAATTGGTACATACTGGCACATACTGGAGGAAACAAAAAATCGCCGTTAACTCGCTTCTAAGCAAACCTCGTGGAGGGGAGGACTACCAGCGAATTTGCTGATTAATGACTTTTTTTGGTGCAAACTATCACTCAGGTCATTTCCGAATTTTTTCCACCGTCTTCAGTTATCCAGTCTGTGAAGGAGCCTTCAACTTTCGACTGTTTTTGACTGGCATAGCCATTTTTGGCATGTGCAAGCATCCCAGTAACAACATTAAAATGTGATACCCGCATCGATTGCCCGGGCGATATGTGGTTGTGGTTTATCATTGTATTACGTATGTAAATTATACGTACTTTTAAATTATCGGTAACTAACATCAGCAGTTTTAATTATCAGCAATGTTCATTTTCCAGTGGCGAGCACTTTTTTTGATTGCTGTTCCGCCTTTTGTTGTTTCGTGCTAACACCGTTTTTTTTTTTT